CTTTTGCGGTCTAGTTTGCAACCCGCGAAGCCCGAGTCGGAGTAGCCTACAAGATGACACGGTGAACCTTTTGGATACCATAGTCCAACGTTGGTCGTGCCCACAAGGTATTTCATTATCCGTTTAACCGCCGTCAAGTGCGATTCTTTTGGACAAGATTGATACCTTGCGCATAGACATACGCTAAACATAATATCCGGTCTACTAGCGGTAAGATAAAGAAGGGAACCGATCATACCTCGATATTTTTTGACCTCAACTTCCTTACCTTTTTCGTCCTTGTCGAGATGGTCGGACGTGCTCATAGGTGTGGCCATTGCTTTTGCGTTTTCCATTTCAAAACGCTTAAGGAGTTCCTTACAATACTTAGTTTGGCAGATGAATGTGCCATCTCTCATTTGCTTAACTTGTAAGCCTAGGAAGAACGTGAGTTCTCCCATCATCGACATTTCAAACTCGTTTGTCATTAATTTTGAAAATTCCTTGCATAGAGATTCATTAGTAGCACCAAAAATAATGTCGTCTACATAAACTTGTTCCAAAAGGATATTATCATTTTTACTCTTGATAAAAAGTGTAGTATCAACCTTCCCCCTTTGGAAGCCATTTTCCAAAAGAAAGTTGCTCAAACGTTCATACCAAGCACGAGGTGCTTGTTTAAGACCGTAGAGCGCTTTCTTGAGTTTGAAGACGTGTTCGGGATACTCAAAGTCTTCAAAACCCGGGGGTTTGTCAACGTACACTTCCTCTTGAATAAAACCATTGAGGAAGGCACTCTTAACATCCATTTGGTACAGTTTAAAGTCCATAGACTAGGCAAAGGCAAGTAATAAACGGATAGCTTCTAGACGTGCTACGGGTGCATAAGTTTCTTCAAAATCAATGCCTTCTTCTTGATTGTAGCCTTTAGCTACGAGCCTAGCTTTGTTTCTAGTGATTATACCATTTTCGTCTAGTTTATTTCGAAACACCCATTTCGTACCAATAATCGTACGATTATTGGGCCTTGGCACTAATTCCCAAACGTCATTTCGTTTGAATTGGTTTAGCTCTTCTTGCATAGCCAAAGTCCAATGTTCATCATTTATTGCTTCGGAAATGGTTGTAGGTTCAATTTGTGAAACAAAAGCCATGTGTCCTACGGTGTCTCTAAGAGAGTGTCGAGTACTTACCCCTCGGTTGATGTCGCCAATAACTTGATCGAGAGGATGATTCTTACTTGTTCTCCATGCATGAGGCAGCCCGTCTTCTTGTTCTCCTGCGCTAGTATCATCTTCCTCGTGTTCTTCAAGTTGTTGTTCCTCGGTTGGCTGCTGTGAAGATGGTTGTTTGCTTGTTTCCTTTTCTTCTTCGTCATCTTCAAGGTAAATTCTCTCCAGTTCACCTGCAAGTTCATCACAAATTTCCTTCCTCGCCAAGCGAGTATTATCTTCGGCAAATACTACGTGAGGGGATTCCTCAACATTCAACGTTCTTTTATTAAACACTCTATAGGCTTTGCTTCTCAATGAGTAACCAAGGAAAATTCCTTCATCCGACTTAGCATCAAATTTGCCTAAGTTATCTTTGCCATTGTTATGAACAAAACATTTACAACCAAAGACACGAAGATGGGAAAGATTAGGCTTTCTTCCTTTGTATAATTCATAGGGCGTTTTCTTGAGTATCGGTCTAATGACGGCTCGGTTTAACACGTAGCTCGCGGTACTCACGGCATCCGCCCAAAAATACTTAGGAATTTTTGCCTCATT